TCGCTCATCTATCATGTGACCAACTACCGTGTGACCGAACTACCCTGTGACTGACCTACTCTCTGTGACTGACCCACCTACCCTGTGACTGCTACCTTGTGTGACCCACCTCAGGTTGTGACCAACCTAGGCGGTGAGTGACCCAGCCTGTGACTGAATTTGCCTTGACTGACCTAACCTGCGACTGACTAGCATGTGAATGACTAGCGTGCGACTGACTAGCGTGTGAATGACTAGCGTGCGACTGACTAGCGTGTGAATGACTAGCGTGCGACTGACTAGCGTGTGACTGACTAGCGTGTGAATGACTAGCGTGTGACTGACTAGCGTGCGACTGACTAGCGTGTGAATGACTAGCGTGCGACTGACTAGCGTGTGAATGACTAGCGTGCGACTTACTAGCGTGTGACTGACTAGCGTGCGACTGACTAGAGTGCGACTGACTAGCGTGTGAATGACTAGCGTGTGACTGACTAGCGTGTGAATGACTAGCATGTGAATGACTAGCGTGTGAATGACTAGCGTGCGACTGACTAGCGTGTGAATGACTAGCGTGCGACTGACTAGCGTGTGACTGACTAGCGTGTGACTGACTAGCATGCGACTGACTAGCGTGTGACTGACTAGCGTGTGACTGACTAGCGTGTGACTGACTAGTGTGTGACTGACTAGAGTGTGACTGACTAGCCTAGACATGTGCACAGGGCGAGCGAGTCTAATCGGCCCTGACTTGAGTCTGACTTGACCTGGTAATCCAGTTGGGCGATGCATTGACCATTTGGCACAGCCGACTTGTATAGGCTCGTATCGAGTCAAAACTGACTCGATTTGACCCTTTGTCGAGTCGAGCTGGGCAAGTCGAGTCAAAACTTGACTTGCTGCTTGTGCCTAACCTAGAGAGAGGTTGCCCTGGCATGTGAGCGACCTAGGTTGTGATCCAACCAACCAACCAACCAGCCTATGACTAACCGGGCTTGTGCTTGACTCAGCTGTAAGTGACCCCACTTGTGAGTCTGTGATTACTATAAATAACCTATAGCTGGCCTCACTGTTGTTGGACCTACTCATTGCGAGTAACACGCTTTTCAGCATGGGCCGACTTGTTAATCGCATTGGTACTCGCCGCGCCAAGAAGATCTCATGGCGACCTATTTTTTTCACATGGAAACAGAAACCAGCTCCCTTCCCCCCCTCCCCCTCCTCCCCCCACACCCCCCCCCCTTGCCAATGAACTGACTTTTGCTGCACCAGTGAGTGAGTGACCTAGTCAGTGAGTGACCTAGTCAGTGAGTGACCTAGTCAGTGAGTGACCTAGTCAGTGAGTGACCTAGTCAGTGAGTGACCTAGTCAGTGAGTGACCTAGTCAGTGAGTGACCTAGTCAGTGAGTGACCTAGTCAGTGAGTGACCTAGTCAGTGAGTGACCTAGTCAGTGAGTGACCTAGTCAGTGAGTGACCTAGTCAGTGAGTGACCTAGTCAGTGAGTGACCTAGTCAGTGAGTGACCTAGTCAGTGAGTGACCTAGTCAGTGAGTGACCTAGTCAGTGAGTGACCTAGTCAGTGAGTGACCTAGTCAGTGAGTGACCTAGTCAGTGAGTGACCTAGTCAGTGAGTGGACCTAGTCAGTGAGTGACCTAGTCAGTGAGTGACCTAGTCAGTGAGTGACCTAGTCAGTGAGTGACCTAGTCAGTGAGTGACCTAGTCAGTGAGTGACCTAGTCAGTGAGTGACCTAGTCAGTGAGTGACCTAGTCAGTGAGTGACCTAGTCAGTGAGTGACCTAGTCAGTGAGTGACCTAGTCAGTGAGTGACCTAGTCAGTGAGTGACCTAGTCAGTGAGTGACCTAGTCAGTGAGTGACCTAGTCAGTGAGTGACCTAGTCAGTGAGTGACCTAGTCAGTGAGTGACCTAGTCAGTGAGTGACCTAGTCAGTGAGTGACCTAGTCAGTGAGTGACCTAGTCAGTGAGTGACCTAGTCAGTGAGTGACCTAGTCAGTGAGTGACCTAGTCAGTGAGTGACCTAGTCAGTGAGTGACCTAGTCAGTGAGTGACCTAGTCAGTGAGTGACCTAGTCAGTGAGTGACCTAGTCAGTGAGTGACCTAGTCAGTGAGTGACCTAGTCAGTGAGTGACCTAGTCAGTGAGTGACCTAGTCAGTGAGTGACCTAGTCAGTGAGTGACCTAGTCAGTGAGTGACCTAGTCAGTGAGTGACCTAGTCAGTGAGTGACCTAGTCAGTGAGTGACCTAGTCAGTGAGTGACCTAGTCAGTGAGTGACCTAGTCAGTGAGTGACCTAGTCAGTGAGTGACCTAGTCAGTGAGTGACCTAGTCAGTGAGTGACCTAGTCAGTGAGTGACCTAGTCAGTGAGTGACCTAGTCAGTGAGTGACCTAGTCAGTGAGTGACCTAGTCAGTGAGTGACCTAGTCAGTGAGTGACCTAGTCAGTGAGTGACCTAGTCAGTGAGTGACCTAGTCAGTGAGTGACCTAGTCAGTGAGTGACCTAGTCAGTGAGTGACCTAGTCAGTGAGTGACCTAGTCAGTGAGTGACCTAGTCAGTGAGTGACCTAGTCAGTGAGTGACCTAGTCAGTGAGTGACCTAGTCAGTGAGTGACCTAGTCAGTGAGTGACCTAGTCAGTGAGTGACCTAGTCAGTGAGTGACCTAGTCAGTGAGTGACCTAGTCAGTGAGTGACCTAGTCAGTGAGTGACCTAGTCAGTGAGTGACCTAGTCAGTGAGTGACCTAGTCAGTGAGTGACCTAGTCAGTGAGTGACCTAGTCAGTGAGTGACCTAGTCAGTGAGTGACCTAGTCAGTGAGTGACCTAGTCAGTGAGTGACCTAGTCAGTGAGTGACCTAGTCAGTGAGTGACCTAGTCAGTGAGTGACCTAGTCAGTGAGTGACCTAGTCAGTGAGTGACCTAGTCAGTGAGTGACCTAGTCAGTGAGTGACCTAGTCAGTGAGTGACCTAGTCAGTGAGTGACCTAGTCAGTGAGTGACCTAGTCAGTGAGTGACCTAGTCAGTGAGTGACCTAGTCAGTGAGTGACCTAGTCAGTGAGTGACCTAGTCAGTGAGTGACCTAGTCAGTGAGTGACCTAGTCAGTGAGTGACCTAGTCAGTGAGTGACCTAGTCAGTGAGTGACCTAGTCAGTGAGTGACCTAGTCAGTGAGTGACCTAGTCAGTGAGTGACCTAGTCAGTGAGTGACCTAGTCAGTGAGTGACCTAGTCAGTGAGTGTCCTAGTCAGTGAGTGTCCTAGTCAGTGAGTGTCCTAGTCAGTGAGTGTCCTAGCCTTGAACTGACTCACATTGTGACTGACCTGGCCTATACTGCCCTAGCCTCTGTCTTGTGACCAACCTAGCTTTTGGGTGACATATGTTGCATCCGACCTAAACTGTATTTCGCTTAGCTTGTGGCTGGTGAGCCCAATCTGTCTTAACCTCTACTAGGTAGAATCCTCCAGGTCCTTGAATTTGGCATGTCCTATGAAAAAGAAGTATTGACTTGAATGCATCAGACCTGACCTGGAGATTTTATAATAGTCAACCACCAGCACGAGCTGAGTCACAATGGTTTCTGGTCAGTCCCAAAGTGAATCTTAACCCGACCAGCTCGCTGAGAGACCAGCTCGCATTGACCAGCTCGCTGAGAGTCGAGTTGAAATTTTAGAAACGTGGGGAGTCGAGTTCAGGAATCGTGTGTCTCAGCTCAAGGGCACCTCAAACGGCCAAGCCACCGCTCAGCCCTTTGCTCATTCGTACTGTGCATTGCATTCATTGCCATTGTTGTCTCCATTGGCTCACTCACTCGTACTTTTCAAATCCCCTCGTTGTGTGCTCGCTCCGGCTTTTTTAGCCTGCCTCACTGTGGTAAGGAGAAGAGCTAGCAGGGTCGCAGTTGCATATTAAGCCCAAGGTTCAAAAAAACGGTTTTCGTAAACAACGGTCCGTTTTTTACGGTCCGTTTTTTACGGTAATTTTCCAAAAAAACGGCGTTTTTTTGTTAGAGAACTGTTGTCACCAACAAAAAAAATGGAAAAACGAGGTCGAATACATTTTCAATCATGCCCACAAGCACACGCATGCAAGGAGGGGTTCGTCCTCTTCATCCTGGTACCTTTCGCCATCAATTTGGTCCCAGAAATCGGCCGATTTTTTCTTCAAACGAAACCACCTTCTGGAACCCTTTTAACCGTTTTTTACGGTCGTTTTTTACGGCCGTTTTTTACGGCCGTTTTTTACGGTAAATTTTCAAAAAAACGACGTTTTTTTTAACCTTGATTAAGCCAGGCAGGCTGTAGCTGGGCTCGTCCCCTTGTGGTCACTTCACTGCTGCCCCACATTCTCTTGCTGCATCCTATCTTGCTGCCTTCCTCCTCCAGGAGTCCTTTCTGGCCTGTTCATGTTGATTTCGCTCCCACGTTTTGCAACCCTCATCTCACCTACTTGTATTGATGTCAGGGTTTGGCGGGAGTGTCAATATCTGTTCGCACAATGAAATGGAATGCACTTCTGTTTTGGAAGACTTCGGAGCAGAAAACGCATCTGTCTTTGCTGTCCTATTATCCCCTCTTCCTTCCCCTCGACCTACTACAATCTCCTCTCATTAAACTACTTTCACCAATAATGTAGTAACCTCTTATTGCTCTGCTCATTCAGTCCACTTGATTTTACTGACTGACTTTATACACTACCTCTGTCTGTACCAGCCAGCCCTATGTGTGCCAGTCAATTATCCCTCAGTCAGGTATCCCTCTTTCTCTGCTCCTTATCTGCTCACTTTCTCCCATCACTGCCTCATCCCTCACTCTCGTGTAACTGGTCTTGTTCGTGTGCTGACCACGCCCTTTCTCCCTCTGTTCTTTTTACGTTTCTTCTTTGTCACGACGATCAACCTCGCACTACCCGGGCTGCACGTGTCTTCTTTCAACAATCTGCAGTGGCAACGTCAGTTGAACGCAGAGGAACCACCAAGAAAGAGGGTTGACTGAGGAAGTGGGTGGACGGTATGGCTGCTGAGAGAGCGTTGGGGCCACTTATTGACGTGGTCAAAGAGGAGGTGCTGACAGCAGTGAGAGAGGAGCTGACTGCACACATGTTGCTAGTTATGAGAGACAGGAATGAAACGACTGCTGTGGTGGAGAGAGTGGTTGAACTAGAAAAGGAGTTGGAGGCGGTGAAGGGGGAGGTGAGAGCGGTGAAGGGGGAGTTGGAGGCGGTGAAGGGGGAGGTGAAAGCGGTGAAGGGGGAGTTGGCAGCGGTGAAGGGGGAGTTTGAGGCGGTGAAGGGGGAGTTGGGAGTGGTGAAGGGGGAGTTGGGAGCGGTGAAGGGGGAGTTTGAGGCGGTGAAGGGGGAGGTGAAAGCGGTGAAGGGGGAGTTGGCAGCGGTGAAGGGGGAGTTGGCAGCGGTGAAGGGGGAATTGGGAGCGGTGAAGGGGGAATTGGGAGCGGTGAAGGGGGATTTGGGAGCGGTGAAGGGGGAATTGGAAGCGGTGAAGGGGGAGCTGGCCGAGCGTGGTAGGTCATTGGGTGTGAAGCGGCTGGATGGGAAGAGTAAAAAGAGAAAGCAAGAAGGGACAGAGGAGTTTTCACGGGAGGAGGAGAGGAGGGAGGTGCCGGAGATGGATCGGCCACGTGCCATGGAGGAATCAGCAGCCTGTAAAGAAGTGCGAAAGACACAAAATTTGAAGTCGAATGTTGAGGCGGAGATTAGGCGGAGTAAAGGCGATCAAAAGGCGGCATGGCAGGTGAGTTTGAAGTGATTTGCTTCACTGGGCGTGCATTGCTTGCTTGTTCATTCTTGTCACTGTGGACACCCTTTCCCCTTGTCATGTTTTCCTTTTCCCTCTCCACCCATTTTTCCCCAGGCTATCAAGGCAGCATCACAGAATGCCTATCTGGTCCTGACGCATCTCCACGGCCTGTCAGACGCCATGCTCGCCCATGTGTCCACCATGACCCACCTGACGAGCATTGACCTGGGCGCGAGCTCAGGCTTCAGTGCAGAGTGCAACAAGCACCTCTACAGGCTGCCACAGCTGGGGTTCCTAAACCTCAGCGGCACAGACGTCTCAGACAGTGCCCTTGAAGGCATTGGGTCCTTGAGCAATCTCAAGGAGCTCTGTCTCTGGGAGACCGAGGTGACCGATGCTGGCCTGCTGCACTTGACCGACCTCTCCTCTCTCAAAGAGCTGGACCTTTCTAATTGCAAAGGAGTGACTGCTGCTGGCATGGTGGAGGTGCGAAAGCTGATAGGGCTTGAGGGACTTGTCCTGGATGGAACGGCAGTCTCAAATGCTGGTCTGCAGCAACTCACGGGTCTGTCCTCTCTGAAGTTTTTGAGCCTTTCCAAATGCGAGGGTCTGACAAGTGCTGGCGTGAAAAACGTGGGAAGGCTGATAGGGCTGGAACAACTTTTTCTGGATGGGACGGCAATTACAGATGTCGGGCTGCAGCGACTTACGGCTCTATCCACTCTCAGACTGCTATACCTTTCTGAATGTGAGGGTGTGACAAGTGCTGGCCTCATGCATGTGGGAAGGCTGACAAGCCTTGAAGAGCTTAAGCTGGATGAGACGGCAGTTACGGATGCTGGTCTGCGCCAATTGGTGAGTCTCTCCGCTCTCCAAGTGTTGTACCTTGGCAAGAACCAAGGCGTGACATCTGCCGGCATGGTGGAGGTGGGAAGGCTGACAGCCCTTGAGAAACTTTGGCTGGAAGGGACGGCAGTTAGAGATGATGGGCTGCAGCAGCTGACGGGTCTCTCCTCTCTCAAGGAGCTGGCCCTTTCCTTTAACCAATGTGTGACAACTGCTGGCATGGTGGAGGTGGGAAGGCTGACAGGACTTGATACACTTTGGCTAAATGAGACGGCAGTCACACATGATGGGCTGCAGCAGCTGACAGCTCTCTCCTCTCTAGAAGTGCTATGCCTTTCCAACTGCAAGGGTGTGTCGGATGCGGGCATGGTGCATGTGGGGAGGCTGTCAGGGCTTAAGGACCTTCGGCTGGATGGAACGGCAGTCACGGATGATGGGCTGCAGCAGCTGACTGCCCTGACCAAGCTGACAAATCTCGATACGCCAAAAAGGGGCTGCCTTAAGAATGATGACGTGCGCAGGCGGATAGGGTGGTAGGAGGTGATGATGGAGAGAGACGTGAGCTGAGGGAGGGCGTGATTGTGTGTTGATGGGGAGGACTGAGGAGGGGAGGCATGCATGGAATGGTGGTTCAACTTGCATGCTGCAGAGAGTTCGGGAATGGTTGCGCCCTGCTGTTGGGCAGAATCAAGTGCAGGGCTGGTTGGGCAAGAGGCCACTGTGTGCATGGGGGAGCTGCATAGGAACTGCCTGCCTGCTGTGGGCATGGTTTATAATGGAAAGGTATCGGTTAGAAGCAGGGCGGACGGAGAAGGGGAAGGGGAGGGGGGAGGGGAGGTGGAGCAGGAGGGAAAGGGAAGGGAGGCGGGGAAGCTGGGGACACGGGCGAGCAAGAGAGCAGTGAGGGAGGCGAGCCTGGTGGGCGGCAGCAATGGCGGCAGCAGTGGCGGCAGCAGTGGTGACAGCAGCGGTAGCAGCAGTGGCAGCAGGTGTGGTTGCAGCAGTGGTGGCATCAGTGGTGACAGCAGCGGTAGCAGCAGTGGCAGCAGCAGTGGTTACAGCAGTGGTTACAGTAGTGGCAGGCGGGGGTTGAGATTAGTGGGGGGAGCTGCTTGGCTGTTTGGGTGCAGGGCGTACGAACATCTTGTCAGAGGAGAGGGTGTAGTGTGTCTGGTGGAGCTTGAATGGCAAACCTCATGCCATGTGCATTGCTTTTGCTGCTGTAAGGAAACCGGGTGTGCAATGAGTATTTGTGCTCGCAGATAGATGAGTAGCTGTGCTCGCAGATACGTGAGATGGGTGGCAAGTGTGATGATGGGGAAATGGGGGATTAAGCAACACCGGTATTGAGGAAGAGAGGCTTGTATTAGAATGAGTGTGGATAGAGTGGAGGTGTGTGCAAGGTGGTGACTGGGTGATGCGTTGCTTGTGCACAACTGGGGGTAAGCTAATTGTCAGAATCTAGCAGCAGGAATGATGAACTATGAGCATGCAGGAGTACAAGTAGTAAACCCTAATTTGGGTTGTACCCCATATGGGCTACCCCACTACAGCCTAGACAATATACAGCACATATGTTTGACACACCCCCATAGGCAAAGTGGGGGAGAACAAGAGGTCACAAGACCAGTCAAGAGAAGTAAAGCAAGCTCAGGGTGGATCACATCGTCACCACACAGTCTGAGCACAACCAAAGGGCCACAAGGCCAGTTCGCATGCAGTGATATATATGCAACAACAGCAGTACAGTTATCTCTACCTGGCAGAGAAAGCAAGTAGGTATATATATATGCATCACAGTACAAGCAAAGACTACAGTAAGTGTGGAAACGTAGGCACAAGGCCTAACAGGGTACAAAAGCGCTGATGATCACCAGACGGAAGTGCCTTGGTGAATATATCAGCAGTGTTGGCCCGAGTGGCCACGTGACGAAGACGAAGCTGACCTCGCTGCTGCAACTCTCGAGCCAAGAAGTAACATAGAGCGATGTGCTTCGTTCTGTGCTCCAGTCTGTGCTCCTCACACAAGGCAATGGCGGCCTTGTTGTCGACGTACAGCACTGGAGGAGAACGAGGCTGCTCTCCCAAGTCAGTCAGCATGTAAGTGAGCCAGCGTAACTCCTGTGCAGCCATGGCTGTGGCGTAGATCTCAGCCTCACAACTCGAGCTGAGAACTGAAGACGAGCGTGTAGAACGCCACGAAACTGAACCAGAGCCAAGGCTGAAGGTGTAACCCTGTGACGACCGCTGAGTAGCCACGTCGTCAACCCAAGAAGCGTCTTAGTGCCCAGTGAGGACAACTGGGCTCGTCCCTCCAAGCACTAGCCCCATGCCTGATGTGCTGCACAAGTAGCGCAGTACCCTCTTAGCAGCAGCCATGTGCTCAGGTCGGTGCCGACCAGGAGCCACGTAGCGAGCCAGAAGACCAAGAGGGTACGCGAGGTCATCAGGTACATGAGGCAGCCGACTAGCTCTGGGTAAGGACGACTCGGCTCTACGGACTCGTCCGAAGGTGGAGCTGAGAGCGAGTCACCTGTAGCCAGAGGAGTGGCCTGTGCTGAAAACCAGGTGAAGCCGAAGCACTAAAGGACCTGCTGCACCATGTGTGACTGAGTCAGGGTGATGGTGCGGCGTGCTCTGTCCCGGGTGATCCGCAAGCCAAGATAGCTCGTCAGTTCACCCAGGTCTGTGCACGTGTGTCTCTTCTGCAGCTCCGACTTCACGTGGGCGAGAGCCTCAGTGTCAGCAGTGGCAAAGACCAAGTCGTCGACGTACACGAGGATGTAGAACGGCGGCAGCAAGGTGCCGGTGCGCAGAAACAACGACGGGTCAGCAGTAGAAGGCGCGAACCCAAGAGCCGCAAGCGTAGTCCTCAGTGTGTCGTGCCACTCACGTGGCGCCTGGCGGAGACCGTAGACCGGCCGCCGGAGGCTCCACTGGGTACCAGGAGGGAACGACCCAGTGAAGCCCGGGGGGCGGCGCAGCCAGATCTCCTCGTGCAGGCTGCCCTGCAAGAAAGCTGTGCTGAAGTCAAGAGAGTGAAGCTCGTAGTCACGGTGAGCGGCAACGTGTAGCAGCACCCGAAGAGTGGTCATCTTCGGGGTAGGAGAGAAGGTCGGAAGAAGTCTACTCCCTCTCGCTGACTGAAGCCTCGAGCAACGTACCGAGCCTTGAAGACAGGCGGAGAACCTGGCGGCCGCTTCACCCTGAAAATCCACATGCCACTGACGATGTTCGCCCCAGGTGGGGGAACCTCGTCAACGCAAGTGCCAGTGGACTTCTAGGATGCCATCTCCGCGTCCATGGCTGTCTGCCACTGAGAGGAGTACTCACCCGCGATCGCCTCAGCGTAAGAGCGCGGGGTCGGGATGTCTCGAGCATCCGGGTCTCCCTCAGGTGCAATCAGCATGGACACGAGATGAGGTACAGCAGCCGCAAAGCACTCAAACTCCTCCTGCCTGTCCTCAAGGACGTCCGTGCCAAGAGCACACTCACCCCCGACGGACGGAGGACAGACAGACTGAGACTCAGACTCAGCAACAAGACTGGCAGCGTAGTCTAGACGACAGTGAGCAGCAAAGTCGACAAGCTCAGCAACTAAGGCAGACGCAGCAGTAGACTCAAACAACGGGTCAGTGACAACAGTGGCTAACAGACGTGTGACAGTAGGGTGCTCGGCACGAAACCGGTCAGACGCAGGGTCCGGAACGTAAGGCAGAGAGGACGGAAGGGGAGACGGTAGAGGGACAGGCTGCGGAGCAGAGGAAGGACGTCGGACTACGAGGTGCGCGCTGGGGACAGCCGGCGGACGCAGACGAGAAACACGACGACCGGTACGACCAGGACGAAGAGGCGAGACAGGACGCGACGCAGGCTCACGACGCTCAGCAAGACTACCTTTCTGCTCAGTGTAAGGAGAAGGAGCAGGCAGGGGTGAGCCAGGCTGTAACGGAAGACCAGTAGACGACGGAAGAGTAAGAACCTGACGAAGAACAGAGTCAGGCGGCGGCAGAGACGACGGAGACGGCGGAGCGAAGAACAGTCGTGTCGGTGCAGCTGCACCAGTACCGGCAGCGCCAGCAGGCAGGCAGACAAGCAGGCAGGCCGACAGGCAGGCAGACAGGCAGGCAGGCAGGCAGTAAGGCAAGCCGGTAGGCAGGCGCGCAGGCAGACAGGCAGGCAGGCAGGCAAGCAGGCAGGTAGGCAGGCGCTCACCAAAGCATGGAAGAGCAGGCGCTCACCGGGCGAGCAGAGCCGGCGCTCGACGGGCGGCGGCCGAGAAGGCGCACGACAGCGGCGACGTCGGGGCCGCAACACCGGCTGCAGAGCAAGGCCGAAGTAGCTGCAGGGCAGGGCCGCATCAGCGGCAGGTCGGGGCCGTGGCAGCTACAGGGCGGGGCCGCAACAGCGTCAGGTCGGGGCCGAGGCAGAGGGCCGCGCGCGTCTTGGCTCGGGCTGCGCTGACAGCGCGTCGAGCTGCTGCAGGCCGCGCGCGGCCGTGCTAGGCAGTAGCGGGCCGCGCGCGGCTCGGCGCGGGCTGCTGTGGGCCGCGCGCGGGCCGCGCGAGGCAGTAATAGGCCGCGCGCGGCTCGGTGCGGGCTGCGCGCGGCGGTGGCGGGCTGCGCGCGGCTCGGTGCGGGCTGCGCGCGGCTGTGGCGGGCTGCGCGCGGCTCGGTGCGGGCTGCGCGCGGTTGTGGCGGGCTGCGCGCGGCTCGGTGCGGGCTGTGCGCGGCTGTGGCGGGCTGCACGCGGCTCGGTGCGGGCTGCGCGCGGCTGTGGCGGGCTGCGCGCGGCTCGGTTCGGGCTGCGCGCGGCTGCAGTGGGCTGCGCGCGGCTCGGTGCGGACAGCGCGCGGCAGCAGCGGGCCGAAGGGCGTGTAGGGGCGGCGCGCGGGCCTGTAGTGCGTGTAGGGACGGCGCGCGAGGCCTTACGGGCCTCTAGGGGCAGCGCGCTGGCCTAGGGCAGCAGGAGGCAGCGCTAGGGCTGCTGGACGGCGCGCGTAGTGCAGCACGTCACAAAGCAAGGCAAGGCAGGTACGTGGGGTAGCGTGGTAACCGCAGCGGTAGGTGGGCCCGAAAAAAAAACGGTCCTACGGACCTTAGTGCTCTGAAACCATGTCAGAATCTAGCAGCAGGAATGATGAACTATGAGCATGCAGGAGTACAAGTAGTAAACCCGAATTTGGGTTGTACCCCATATGGGCTACCCCACTACAGCCTAGACAATATACAGCACATATGTTTGACACTAATGGTTGTGAATTTGTGCTTTGATCTCAACAATGTGTACAACTGTGTAGGTGACATAAACAGATGCATGCGATTGAGGTTCAATTAGTCTCCCTCCTGACATTGGTTGTAGGATAAAATGCTTTGTTGTCCACGTTAAAATGCTTCAAGATTTTCCATCTATAAATTTGTATCAGGCATGTGCAGCAGGGTTTAGGGTACGGGTTGAATTGAAGGCACACATTCTGCTGCAGCACCCAACCACATGGCCCATCACTGGCATGCAGGAGGCAAGTAGGAGATGAATAGTTCAAAATCAAGTCAGTATGGCTCCATTCTAGCCATGTGATGTTTGGTTTCAAAATGCATGTCTGGCTTTTGGTATACCGTAAGACAACAGAATCCCAACCGCCGCCACAACTGGAATGCCTTACTGCAGCCCCACGCTCCACCCACTCGATGCACCCCCTTGTGTCTGGTAAACTAGTGACTCGGTTTCTGCTGCTGTGTGGCACCTTTCTGACATCTCTCTGAGCTGAATAGGATCATTCTGCAATTGAGAGAGGGGCAGGAATAAGTGAGGGGCACGCATGAGAGGGCAGAGACTGAGGAATGCAAAAGTGACCCATAAACGGATATGTAGCATGAAATGATGTATGGGTTGAGGTATGGGACTAGGTAATGCATAAGGCTTGTGAATGGCGACGAGGGGGAGACAATGGTAGTGGAACCGTTGATGATTGAAGCGGTGTTGAGCGAGGACTTATATGGGTGGGGTTAAAGTGACAGGTGCAATGGTTGAAGCTGGGTGAGTGGAGAACTTGGAGATGTAGAACGAGGGACAAGGGTGGAAAGTGATATGGAAAGGGGATACGGGATGGAAAATGGAGGGGTTGAGAAGTACAGGAGGAGGTTAGGTGCGGGGGAGGAGGGGAATGGGGAACGGGAGGAAGAAAACGGAGGGGCGTAGGTGGTTGGAAGGACCTATGCGACAGCGGTGATGATATGACAAACACTGAGTCCGGTATGTGGGTAAACGGTTAAGCTGGTGTTACAAGGATTGTAAACATCTACATTTAACAACGAATAAACTCAGACATGCACTTAACGTGGCGGGAACTCAAACAATTTCTGAAGTGCCTAAAACTTGGGGAGGATTCGGCTGCAGCAGTCCAGCCGGTAAGAAGTTGCCCCAACAGAGGAGGTGCCCCTGTAGCAAGATCAACAGTATCAAGAGCGCCCCCAATGAATTGAGGCACGTGTAAGTTGCTGCAGTTGTCGAGCTGATGGGAGACAGGAGGGGTGGGGAAGAGGGGAGAAGAGCGGCCGGGAGGAAGGGGGGGAGAAGGAAAGAGAAATGGTTGAAAACTGGGGAGTGGGAAGAAGGTCGCACAGAGGTGTAGCATGTGCGAGTCACTGCAGATGTCTAGATGGTGGAGAGGATAGAGGGAATGGGGATTGTGGCTGTGACAAGGCAGAAGGACACTGGCTGTCGAGTCAGTGCAGATGTCTAGATGGTGCAAGGCGGAAGTGGAGAGGAATGGGAGGGGAGGGGGAGGGGAAGGGGAAGGAAAGGGGGGGGAGATAGGAAGTAAAGGGTAGGGAAGGAAAAGGGGAGGGGAAGGGGACAGGAAAGGGAGGGAAAGGAGAGGTCAAGGGAAACAGGAAGTAGAGGGAAATGAGAGGGGAAGGGGAGGACGGTGGAATGAGGGGAAATGGTTTGTTGGCTGGTATATGAAACGAAAGGAAGGTACCTTCCATCCAATGGCCAACATGAACGCCATGCAGACACCATGCTCTGCGAACCCATCCACGCCATGCACACTAATCACACACCATGCGCACACCATGCGCACACCATGCGCACACCATGCACGCACCATGCGCACACCATGCGCACACACCATACATACACCATGCACATACGGCACCATCCACACAACACACCATGCAGAAGACATGCACAATAACTATGCACACACCATGCATACCAATCACACACCTGGTGCGTCACACCATGCACACATCTTGCACAGGCAGACAGCACCCATCCATCTGCCCACCCTACTCAGCACTCATAGGGCTGCAAAGCTTGTACTCATACCTTAGGTTAGGAACATGCTGGTGGCGTCGCTTGCCGTCTCTGCTGCCTCCTTGGCTCGCCTCAGCTGCTCTTCCTGCCTCAGCGTCTCTGGCAGATTGTGTCGCATGCCCACCAACAACACATTGTTAGCGCCGGTGCGCATGAATTGTTTAAGAGAGGGAAAAGGGTGGAAGGAAGGGCTTGCCGGGAGGGGAACGGGTATGCAAGCAGGGTAGTCATGGCGTTTTCATATGCACATGAAAGTATTGTCTGCACCGAGACACATTAGCTGAGTGTGAGTGGGAGAAGGAGAGGGGGTGAGGACGCGAAGGGGGAAGAGGTAAGACAGTAAGGACAGCAATGAAGGCGGACACGGACGGACCCACAAACACATTGTTGACACATCCGGGTGAGAGGGAGAAGGAGACACCAATGGAAGCAGGGATGGGGTCAGAAACACACTGGCAGACAGTTCCAATACATATGTGAGAGTGGGAAGCGAAAGGACGGACGGGAGGGAGGAGGCGGGAGGGGAAGGGATAAGAATGCAATGCAGCAACAGTCATGCTACTCGATACATGTGTCATGTGATGTGTCATTTTATGCTCCACATGCTGAACGACCACAGTACTTACCTGGTACTGATTCGTAGAGGACAAAGGTGGCCCAGCTGAGAGCAAGAGTCCATGGCATGGCCACTGCAGCCATCCGTGACATGGCTGTTACGGCGAGCCCAATGCGAGGCGTGCGCACTGCATGGGGAATTACACTGTGTTTTGGCATCGGCTGGACGTGAGTAGGGTGGGTGGCATGGCACAAAAGTGGATGATGGGGGGAGGAAAGGAATGTGGCGGGGAATGTCGGGAAGGAAGGGGGAAGGGTGGTGGTGGGGAGGAATTAGGGAGGTGGCGCATAATCTCATGTGCCACCCAGGAGGGTGGTCGTTTTCTGATGAGGGAGTGGTAGTAGCAGAGGAGGGAACGGGGAGGGATTTGAAAGGATACGGGGATGGAGGGGCAAGGAGGAGCGGGGTGTTAGGATAGGAAAGGAGGGGATGGATGCGCAGGCGAGCTGGACGTTTGAACACAATCAAATTGAGACATCTTTATTAGATTGATTCGCATTCATCAACTAGCAGGGTCACTCACCCGTGGATAGAGCAACACATACATGCTCAAGCACCCCTTTGCACATGGCATGTGATGGTGCCATGTGCTCGCACCTCTTCATCCCTCACGTGGAGCCGAAGAGCCCCACGTGACCAATACGTAAAGAGCAGAAAACAGCTAACGCCCAAGGTAAAAGGTCGCATCCACGGCTTTTGCTCTTCCCTCCCACGCCCCACTCCTCTCACGCCTTACTCTCCCACCTACTGCGCCCTCCCTCGTGTCTCACGCCCACGATAGACTCTACTGCCACAACCATGCCATGCTGCCTGGCTATGTGTCACAGAGATGAGTGGGATCCTCACGACCAGTACAGGGCAGGGTTTAGGCCGTTGGTGTGGGAAGGGGAAGGGAATGTGGAGGAGAGAGGGAAGAAGGTCGTCGCATACTGCTGAGCAAGAAAGAGGGAGTGGAACAAAGCCGATGACGGCATTGCACAGGGAAAGCATTCGATTTGCCGCATAACCAAACTAGCGCCAACAGAATCAGGCGCCCGATAGGCAAAGAGACGAAAAGAGAGATAGCATGAGAGAGTGATTCAGATCCCTCCATCTACTCCGCTTCTCTCACCTCCACTGCATGTGGCCCTGCCTGTCATCAGCTAAGAAGCCATCCATACGCTCATGGCATGTGCTTGCTCTCACGTGGTTCTTAGAATCCCCGAATGACCAGCGTACAATGATCACAGCGCAGCTAACGCTCACTCACAACGAGTCATGCCACAATACGGCTGCTGCAGCCTCACCCTTCCCACTACCACCTCCATCGTCGCCCCCGTGCATCCACTCTCGTGTAATGTATGGCTCTGCCTGCCACATTGCCTGGCTCCGTGTCGCAGCGATGAGTTGGGCACCTCATGACTGGTTCATGAATGCTGCTGTTGGTGTGGGCAAAGGATGGGAGTGCAAAAGGTAAAGGGCTTCAGAGCGAGGAAAGAGGCAGACAGTGGTCGATGGTATTGCATACCAGGTGAATGCTAAATGGGAGGGACAAGAACAACGGAACGGGAGGGGGAGGATAATGTGGGGGGTTTGTGGGAAGGGTTGCCTTGCAATGTCACCTGTCATCATGTCATATGCCACCCAGGAGGGTGGTCAGCCCCTCCTGCTGCTTCACCCTCGCTACCACCCACCGCCACAGGTGCAAAACCACTGGTGTTTTAACTACATATAGTAGTTTTGCTGGAGCGTGCAAGCACCTGTTAACAATGAAAGGGGGGTTGACAGAGATTGAGATTTAAACAGAGGCAAAGAAGAGATAAGGAAGGTGAAGTAAGGGGAAATTAAGGGGTGATAAAGGCTAAGCGAGGTGGCTGGCTGGGCAATGGGCATGATGTGAAGTCAGCTGGTTATCGTTTTCTCATTGCAACAATGCAAGTATATTCTGGTATCATTGTCTACGTATCTGCTATTGGCGGATGAGGTAGTACAACGGAGGGTCTGCTGCATGCTATATACCATGCAATGAATGGTCTAAGTATCTTCCTGCATTATCCCTTGTTTGCATTGACAGAGCCAACTAGTAGCGATATCTATAGGGTAAAAAAAAAGCCCCCACAGCCACTTCAGGAAACGTAGTCTTGACACGAGCCTCCAAACCTTTGATGTTTGACCAAAACTTCTTCAAGTGGGCCAGGCGCTGCAAGCACTTCACCACAACTTCATGAGAAACTGTGCTTTTACATAACTGTAATCCTTCCAAACTAGTCAGCTGCCCGATGTACTCCATGCCTGCATCGGTAATCCCCTCTCCTAGAGAGAGGATTTTGAGCCTGGTCAGGGAGGTCAGATACTGCAGCCCATCGTCCTTCACTCCACTTTTACTCGCCCAAAGCTGCTCAAGGCTTGTCAGCCTCCCCACATGCTCCATGCCAGCTGATGTGACACCCTTGCATTTGTGAATGACAAGGACCTTGAGCGAGGAAAGAGCTGTGAGGTGCAGCAGGCCAGCATCAGTCACATTGGTGTTGTTGAGATAGAGAAACTTAAAACTCCTCACTCCCCCAATGCCTTCCAAAGCACCATCTGAAACGGACGTGTCTCTCAGATCCAGCATTGTCAGTCCTGGCAGCCTGTAGAGGTGCTTGACGCCCTCTGCACTGAAGCCTGAGGACTTATTCAACCTTACTGTTTTCAGTTGGGTCATTGAGGACACAGCACCAAGGGCCGTGTCTGACAGGTTTTTGAGATCTTTCAATTCCAGGAATGTACGTCGTTTGGTCTTCCCACTGAATGCTGACGACACGGCCTGGAGGGAGTCCGCAGCAAGAGAAGGTACAGGCTTAAAATCAGACCAAAGTGCTGCAGACGCTAAGCACCAAGCTATAGCACACACGCACACACACACACAAAAAAAAAACTCACACAATCCAGATTCACCTATTCCCATCCCAGCAAAGTACAACTCACATCCAAAGCTCGTGTGCTTCCCCAATCGCCGCGTACAAGTGCGACCAAAGCCTCCTTCAAGGCAGCTTCAAGCTTGAGCACACGAAGGGTCTGCTCAGTGACCTCCCCTTTCACTGTAGTCACCTCCCCCCTCACTGCGTTCACCCCCCCCTGCAATGCTGCAAACTTCCTCTCCCTCTCCTCCACCCGCCCTCTCATCTCCGCCACTAGCTTTCTCTCAGCCTCCTCCGACTTCAATGCAGTTGACTGCTTGTGCTCGCCCAACTCCGCATTTACTGTAAACAACGCCGTCTTCACTGCAATCAGCTCCCTCTTCACTTCAATAAACTCCGTCTTCGCTGCAATAAACTCTCTCCTGTTCTCCTCCATCGCAGCAGTGGTTGCCCCATTCCTCTGCTCAGCAACAGTCAGCATGTGCCGCAGCTCATTCACCTCCTCCTTGTGTGCAGCCAGCTCCTCTCTCACTGCCGCTAGCACCGCCTCTTTCACCACATCGATCAGTGGCCCCATCGCTCTCTCAGCAGCCATGTGTTCCAATAACCTCAAACAACCCTCGTTCTATGACCGAATCGTGTGTTCAGCCGAATTCTTTACTGCAGCCTCGCGAAAATAAACAAGGCCTGGCAAGGTAGGGTGAAGTGTCTTGGAGGAAACGCAAAAAAAGGGAAAAGAATGCACAAAAGTGGAGAAATTATTACATGGGCATAAAGAACAAGGCAGACATGTGAATATGAGAGGTTTGAAAGAGTATAACAAGCAAGAGACTTGATGACAAGTTGTGAGAGAATGGTTTCAATGAGAGGAGATGCTAGTGCATACACATGCATTTGTGAGAGGGCAGGTATTGTAAATGAGAGAAGAGCGGGAGGGGAACGAGGGAAAGATGGGGGAGGAGGGGATAAAGCAGTGGATACAGCGAGGACAAGCAGGAACAACGGGGGGTGTGTGGAGAGTGGGGGGGAGAGAGTGGGGAGGGGGGCGGGAGAGGAAGAAGGGGAGAAGCGGCCAGGGATGCGATGCGAGTCATCCACTAAGTGCACAAGAGGGGACGAGGGAAAGCGGTGGAAAGAAGGAGCATTGGGCAATGGGGCAAGCGAATGCCAGGCGAGGCAATTAATTTAGGATCACATGAACTTGAAAGCAAGAGTGAACCAGCTTAATAAGACCGGAGACAATCGAGATGACACAGAGATGTAAACCCAAGGGCACATGAATAAGTAGGAAAGGACGGAGGGGAAGCAGTAATGAGTCAGGCGGCAAAGGAAGCAGGCAGGCAGGCGCTGAGCGAAGGTGCAATAAAGAGGAAGCGGGCAATGAGAGTATCCGAGGTTGCAAATAAGTGACAAGGATAGGTGAGGAGTGGATAGACTAGATAGGAAGGATGAAGCCGAATCAAGCGAGCATGAACAGGAGATGGGTTGACGGGCCAAGAATTTGGAGGGAGAAAGAGCAGGGCGATAAAGAGGACAAAGGCGAAACATTCAGGTTCTGGTAGGAGGAACATTTGGACATGAACACACTGATGGAAGCAGCGATAAGGGATGCACGCAGAAAGAAGGTGAGATATGATGCATGGCAGAAGAGCGCAGTGAGAAGTCATCAGGGCAGAGAAACCTACCTCTTGTGGCGAGTGGCGAGAGAAGAGATCGATGGCGCAAAGTGGAACGCACGAACTGATGATAGGGTTTCGGATAGCAGAAGCATGCAAGATTGGTTTGCAACATCAACAGTAACAGTAACAGTACGCGTAACATTAGACACATGCAAGCACACACTTGATGCCACACTATGTTCAGAAACACATGTGGACAGAGAAGACGTTGAGCCTAAGCAAACCCGACACCACTGGAGGAGTCACATCCATGCTGGCAGGGATCGGCTTGGTCCACTCTACGATAGCACACACGTGCTGCGTGCATACACAGACGCGATGCCGACATGTCCAATGCCAATGGTGCACTCAGGTGTTATTGCAAAGCTGGATGCTAAATCTGGCGCCCATATTTCCGTCCAGCCCATGCGTGGGTTGGCCTGAACCAGTTGCCGGTCCGCCTTTGACAATCCAAGAACTTCATGCTACCAGGCATGTCATGCATGCGCCGGGCCTGTTGCAGGTGCGCGTGTGACACCTGTGCCAAGGCAAGGGTTGCCTAGCTGTACCTACCTAGGCGCAAATTGCCGCCGATCTCGTTGGCTGCCTCTGAGAACGCAAGTGTGGCAACGCTCACTGCTGGACCATTAACCGGTACATGCATGCAGGGATAAGACACAACACATGTGGAGAGGGATGGAAGAGACGAAGAAAGTTGATAGGTGCACTTTGAATCTGGTGAGAGAGGTGGAGAGAGGTATGCGCGATACTGAAACAGTGGTAAAGGGAGGATGCAGAGGGGATATCTAGAAATACCCACCTCACGGGACAGGATAATGTCAGAGAGAACAGCAGGCTGAAGTGGCTGCGCGAGCAGATGAAGAGAGAAGCACGATGGGCAGTAGGGATTGGGCGGCAGCTGAGGAAGTGGGTACAAGAAGGCACGGGGATGAGACGCAAGAGGCATGGGAGAGGGGAGAGAGAGGAGACAGTGAATACTACAATGGGAAACAATGTCACATGGCAAGAAGTTTGCCGTGCGGGTAGCACGTCATACGACAATCAGACGAAGTGAATCCCTGACCAGGGAGGAGGAGGAAAAGGAATTCTGCAAATCTGGTGAAAGAAGTATCAGCAGCATAATAAAAGAGCAGCAGAAGAAGCAAATTGGATAGGACATGAATAAACTGAATATCTACGATGGAAGCAAGCTGGACTGAAAGAGATGAGGTTATCAGAGGGACGAGCAGGACACGCTAAGTGTGAGACAGCGAACGCAAAAGGGCAAGAAGATTTTGACAATATTCGGCGGCAGTACCTGTTGTGTAGTAGGGAGGCAGCGAGGTGACTCTAAGAGCCAGGCGCTTCCCAGCCCACAGACTGACAAGTTCCGAGGGAGACCACTAACAAGTTATGCAGCGCAACAGGACGGCCGAGGCCTCGAAGTGGCAGAAGGGCAAGATGAGAGCAACAAGCTGTTTACGAGTGGGGCACCACTGAGAGAACAGCGTGCGTACCTGGTGTGTGGTAGGGTATCAGCACGGTCAGTTAGGAGCTAGGCGCTTCTCAGGCGACAGACTGACAAGCTCCGCAGGTGAAGGTGAAACGGCGCGTGGGAAGATAGACAGATGGCAGCAGTGGGAAGCAGGGAATTCGCAGCAGACAAATCGACACAGCCGCGCAGCCGAGGGTGAACGCGAGAAAGGTCTGCGAGAAAGAACAACGGCACAAGCCGAACTGGCGAGAAGATATGAAAGTGGGAACTGAATGTCCGAAAGAAAGATCTGGCAAAAGGAATCTGGACGTGGTGAAAAATCGTTTAGATGCTGGATTCAGAGTCAAGAGCGAAGGGAGGGAGAGGAGGGCAGAGAGGGGGGGTGGATGCTCACGCCCACGCCATCCTTCCGCGTTTCCCCTCGCAGGCCCATTCCAGTTCTTCGCGCCGCACGCCCACCAGGCGTGCAATCATCTCTCATCTACTCTCGCGCCGTTCGTCCGTCCTCGTCGTTCGGCGTCGCCATCGCACCATCCGAGTTCAGCCCATCGCATCCTACCGCCGAGCACCGCACAACAACCGCACTCCAACCCGCATGAGATTGAACGGCGTGACAACCAACGCTGGGACCCATCGACCTTACTTCGCGAGTCCCCTGGTAACGCCTTCATCCCTTCGCCCCACACTGGTCTCGATCGCCACAAATGACTCGTGACACGTGGCAAAACTGACAGTGGACTTGCGAGGGTCTAGCTAAATCTAGCTATTTGTTTGGTTCTACTTCTTTCATTTCGAAAGTGAAGGATTTGCGAAATGAGAAGTTCCTCAGCGTTGTATCGAATGAACTCTAACGAGAAATATAACGTTGTTTCAGGTTACAGGGGTTTGCGAAACGAGCAAGTCAGAATGAATTTCGCACATCCAGATCCAACCCCGCACTTCCATTCCCTCACGCTCCAACATCGCCCTCACGCTCTCCTCCCAGGGCATGGAAGCGTGACGACCAGAGCAAGCGGCATTGCTGCATGTGTGCAAGCAAGCGCGTTCTCCAGCCTCCTCGCTAAATGCACGCGGCGCCTCTCCTAGTCCGTCTCGAATCGCATCCTGTACATCATAGGAAATGATGTTTCGTTTGATAGTCCTTCCTGATCGCCGAATCCGTGATCTATACCGTCAGATTTGGTAGATCGACGTTCTCAGCCTCACGATGCCTCGACGTGATGTTTCCCGACGCAAGCACGCACCGGCGACATTCCCACCATCACATTGCTTCGCTGCGCTCGCGAAATCGGACGCCAAAGAATGTCGTGGAACATCCTGGGTTGGTGTAACGTTATGTATGCGAAAATATTGATGACCGAGTCAGGTAGCGACTCGTTGTGGCGGCGCGAGCATGAAGACATGCACTGCGGGATGAGAAATGGGCGGAAGGGAGAGAGAGGGGCGTCTGCTAGTGGCGAGGGGGTGAATGGATTCAGATTGGGTCAGCAAAGTGAAGCATCATGCCGTCGTTTGCGCAGCATTGCTGCGATCGCGTGCGACATGGAAAACGGTTTTCCACAGTGCGTGAAGGTTAGCGGGGGCAGAGAGGGGGGCGTCTGCTTCAGCCAAGTGGCGAGCAGGTGTATGGGTCGGTCGGAATTGGATAGGTCGGGATGATTGGGTGGCACAAGGAAGCAAATCATCATGCCATCGTTTGCGCATCACTGCGGCGAACGCTACTAGCGTGAAAAAGCGGCGAAGCGGAAGGCGAGTGGGGCTTCCAGCTGATCCAACCCCAAACCCAGCTCCGACTTCGGCACTGCCATCGATCTCCTTCCGCTGTCCCTTCATCATCCCTCCTGTCGTCATTTCACTTTTTATTGCTCCTCCTCTCCATTCCTCAGTCACCTCGCTACTGCCGCCTGCTACCTCTTGTCGCCTCGCTCCTCCATCACACCCTCGCCCGTCCTTCACCTTCCTCAAGAATTTCTCTCGCTCGGAAGAGCGGCTCGCTTGCAGCTGGTAGCTCGCTGCTGCCACTCGGCACATCTCACCCACTCCGGCTACGGCCTCTCTACTACTCTGCGCCCACCTCCCACCAGCCTGCTCTCATCGCCCATAGCAGTACCAGGTGCGTCAATCCTTTTCTCTGAATGCATTTCCTCTTTGGTGATCACATGCAGCTTGCTGCACGCGGATCCCACCCTTGACACTCGCCGCCTTGTGCCGCCACCCGTTTCTCGGTGAGACTGGCTTGCCCGCACCCGACTCTCCCTTCACTTCGCCCTGCTGCCCTTCAGTGCACGCTCCACTTCATTCCTGATGGATATGAACCATGCCATATTGGCTTGTGGCATAGATTAGCCCTTCTTTTCTGCTTCATTCACGTCACAGTATCCCCACCCCGTTGTTTTTGCCCGTGCATCTATCTTCTCCAACTCCTGAAGTCAGACCGGATTGCCCTTTTTGGACCCTTGCTTCAATTACTCCTCCTTCGCTCCTGCTGACTGTAGCATCCCGATCCTCTCTCCGTCTTGTTTCCACCTCGGCTCCTGCTCCTTCACTCTCTTTCTTCGTTCCTTTCTTCTGCCACTTACTTCCCTCTTTCCTCCTCCTCCCCCTGCGCCTTCCCCTCCACCGTCAACCTCCCCCTCTCCCTCCCCCCTCCCGCCCCGCCCCTTCTTCCTCCTGCTCCTCAGTCCCTTTCTTCTCTTCAGTGCCTGGGGTGGAGCGCCTGGCTCTTAACTGCCACCTTGCTGCTGCCGCCTGCCACCTGCTGTCGCCTCGCCCTTCCCTCGCCGCCAGCCTCCAGCGATCCCCCGTTCGGTGCCTCCAGTGAAGCTGCCTCGCTCGCAGCATACCTGCACCTCCAGGTACGGCCTCGTCTCTGCTTCCCACGGCCTCACTTCTCCAAATGCGCCCTTCTGCTCTCACCATACCATTTGTGTCCTGCTCTATATGTCCTTATCCTCCCACTTCATTGTAGTAGGAGACGCATCTTGTCCTTGCCTGACCTGAATTCATCCCCTGTTTGGTAATCACATGTGTCTTGCTGCTAGCCCATCCCACATGTGTAGTTATAACCCTTGCCACTTGCCCTAGCTCCATGTGTTGCCACTCATTCGCCTGTGCGGCTGGATAGCAATGCCTACGTGCCCCATCTGTCCTCCTGTACAGATCATGCCATCCTCCTCCCTCTCCTGCTCCTGCTGCCTCCCGCCCTCCCTTACCTTGCCGCTCCTCACTGTGTTGTGCAGGCGCACGCCTTGCATTGGGCTCGCCCCGTCAGCCATGGCTCGGATGACTGCAGTGGCCATGCTGCTGCCAGGGCTGCTGCTCGCCCTCCTCGCTGCTGCCATCGCTTCCATTGCTGTCGTCCGCATCATCATGCCACTTGGAAGGGAATGTTTCTATCGTGCTTCAGTTACAGATGATGCGAGTGACTAGTGCAATATTTGACCTTCCGGGCCCACCGCCCAAGTTAGCAGCACATGAGTTCCACATCGATTGCCTCTCACCATGCATGTGTGCTCTCGTCTTCCTTGTTGCCTCTTACAGCCTCCACGTGACACCGACAGCGAGGAAGGCAACAACCCTCTCATGCTCCCGTCTGCTTCCCTGCCTCATGTAAGCCCTTGTTATTCTGTACTGTCAGTACTCCTATGCAGGTCTAGCAGATCATGGCTCGACACTGAATGTCTGAGTTGTTTTTTTGCGTCTGTAGACGTGCGTGCATGTATTTATCTCACTCGCATGTCATCTGTTGTCTCTCTCGCAGGGTAACGCCACTGTGATGTGTGGAAATGCCACATGCGGACCTGACTCTCGGCCTAATGCCGCCAATGCCATCACCGCATCGCTTCAGCATGCCCACGCTCTCGACGTGCCTATTCACTCCCTCCACACCCTGGTGCGTATTGGGATGACTGAGGCTCTAAAACTGCCACCTTGCTTTTAACAAAGTAACAATACTGCCGTTTGAGATTCTGCACATTTCCCCTTCCTCATGTTGGCTCTCACATGGCATGTACTCACACACATCAATTACTTCCCGGTCTTGTTCCACATGTGCAGTCTCCAGGTGCAATTCATCTGCTCGTGCTGTATTCTGCACTCGCTACTCTTGGATCACTGCTGTGGGGAATGGGCGTGACCCACACGCAAGTCAGAGCATGGGTGCATCAGCAGGGCTTGGCTGTGACGGCTGGGCTGATGAAGCTGAAGAGTGCAAGCAAGCGCCTCCTGGTATGCCATGCGCTCTGCCCTCCTTTGTGACCACTTTATTATCCCTGTCAAGTCCACTCCATTGAGCCTTCATTCCTGTTTCCTATTCTGCTGCATGTTTTTCTCCTGTCCCTCATCCTCCTTTCCCCTCCTCTCCCTCGCCTCACCATGCTGCAGCAACCTGGAATGTTCTCTCTGCTGCACAGCCTCAGGTGAGCTTCCCCCTCCTCAACATCATCACTCTCATGCTCTTGTTCTATGCATGAGCATGCCCTCACAAAACACAAGGTGTGTGGATCTACCCGTGCAAATCGCCTACGCACTACGTATGATGAGTTTGTGCCTGTATGAGTTGCCCATGCGCCCTCCTCTTTTACCCCCATCGCATGCTCCCTGCATCTTGCTCTTATCTCACTCGTGCGAGCCTGCATGCTTTCGTACATGTTTTCCCCGATTCGTACATGTCCCTGTGTTTGCACATTTCTCCCTTGCTTGCTACCTATGGCCCCGTCTTGTGTTGTAACGCTCTCACGCTGTTGTGTACATATATTAATCCCTTGACATTATAAACTCCACGCTGCAGCCAACCTCGCATCTCCCATGCTTCCTATTCTAATTTCACTCCGTCTTTCTCATGTTCGTCACCCTTGATTTCAATCTTGCGTTCCTTGTATTCTCCCAATTCTCCGTTTGAATTGAGTCCCGCTTTCGTGCCTTCTGCGATGTGCATTGCTGTGTTGCCATATGTGCCCATGTGCTCCATGCACAGGAAGCGAGCTTTTTCTGGGGTGCAGAAAGTGAGCGAGGCTGTTGGGACTATCGCTGCGAGGATGGCCGGAACAGCTGAGTTGAGTGAGGCGATGGAGATGAAAATGAGGGCGTTTACCATGCAGCTGGAAGAGACACGGAGGGAATTGGAGGGGGCTGAGAGGCGACGACTGGCGGAGATGAGTGAGATGAGAAGGCAGGTGGAAGAGAAGGCAGACCAGATGGCTGTAGAATTGGGTGGGCACAAGCAGTCCACTAGAGTGCAGTTGGAGGAGAGGGAAAGGGAACTGGCTGCAATGCAGGAGCAGGTGAATGCAGTGAGGGGGGAGGTGACTACAGTGCAGGGCGAGGTGAATGCAGTTAGGGAGGAGGTGATAGCAGCGAAAGGGGAGATGGCTGAGCAGAAGCAGTCAACCACATTGCAGTTTGAGGAGGCTGAGAGGAGACGAGTGGCGGAGATGAGAGGGCAGGTGGAGGAGAGGGAGAGGGAGCTGGCAGCAGTGAAGGGGGAGCTGGCTGCATTGAGGGGGGAGCTGGTCGAACAGAATGTTCTCATGAAGTTGGATGTTGACCTGCAGATCAGGCAGAGTGAAGGCAATCAGAAGACAGCATGGGAGGTGAGTGCTAAGGGAACTCTTTCACAGGGCATGCATGGTTGACATGGCATGCATGGTTGACAGGGCATGCATGGTCAAGGTGTGCATGGTTGGATAGGGCGTGCATGGTTTGCTATTGTAACCATGATCGTTCCCTTGCATTTCATTCATTCCCCTCTGGTTCATTATCACCAGCGAATCAAATCAGCATCATGAGGACCTAATTTGGATCTACAGCGTCTCAGCGGCCTTTCGGATGCCATGCTCGCCCATGTGTCCACAATGACGCATCTGAAAGGCATTCACTTGACCAATAGCTCAGGCTTCAGTTCAGAGAGCATCAAGCACCTCTACAGGCTGCCAAAGCTGGAGGAGCTAGTCCTCCAAGACACAGATGTCTCAGACAGTGCCTTGGAGGGGATTGGGTCCTTGACCCGTCTCAAGGAGCTTCAACTCTGGAAGACCAAGGTGACCGATGCTGGACTGGCGCACCTGTCAGCCCTGTCCTCTCTCAAAAAGCTCTGGCTTTCTTTCTGCAAGGGTGTCACAAATGCTGGCATGGTGCATGTGGGGAGGCTGACAGGGCTTGAAAGGCTTGATCTAGATTACACGGCAGTCACGAATATTGGGCTGCGGCAGCTGACTGCCCTGACCAAGCTGACAACTCTCTGGACGCCAGAAGGGGATGTATCTACGAATGATGCTGTGCGCAGGCGGATAGGCGGGTGGTGGTAGGGAAAAGTTGATTGTGACTGTCTAGGGGGGGACTGAGGAGGGGCGTGGAGGCAAGGGGTGTGAAGAATGAAGAGAAGCATGGATTCGGTGGAGAGCCATGGATTGTGCCTGGCTGAACCTGCATGTTGTACAGTTGGAATGGTGGACCTGTACCTTGCATTTGACAGAAGCAGGTCCAGGGCTGTTTGGGCAAGAGACTAGCGGATAAAGGGAGACTGCATGAGCCATGCTTTGGTTGCAGGCTGTACAGCGCTAGTTGATGTCATTCTGAGGATATACTGATATAGTGAGGTAGATGGGTGACGAATGAGGTGGAGGAGGGTGAACCAGGAAGAAGTGAGAGGTACTGTGTGAGCCGTGCCTGCCAACTGTTGGGTGTAGGATGTACAGATCCTCCATTTGTGGAGGAGGGAGCGTTTTTGGAAAAGAGGTACTACTGTGTTTGTTAAGGAAATCGTGTACAACAGATGAACAGCTTGATCATATTTGATACTGTTTCAACATTAATTTACAATAGCAGCAACTCGTACCCTTGTGCGGTAGGTAGCATGGTAACAATAAGTCCAAGCTCTGCGACGATCGGATTAACTTATCACAAAAACGCAACTACACCGACCAAGCTAATCGGCTACGTCGACGCCGATCACGCCGGCGACACCGATAACAGGCGCTCACGCACCGGTTATGTCTACCGCCTCGAGCCTATTGGTCCTACCGTCATACCCCGGATAAACCCCCATGGGGGGCACTAATAAAACATGTTTTTTTTAGGGGGTGGGCTTATAATATAGTAAAATTATAAGCGCCGGCGTTTATGTTATGTCAAAAATGAAATTTGTTTTTAAATATATCAAATCGAAGCATTCTCAAAGGCGAATTCACCTGAGTCGAGAACGTTCGAAATTGTGCATGCTTTGCGCGTGAAACGGCCAACAAGGCGTGGCATGACGCCTTCCACGCCTTGTTGGTCAGGCCAGGTTCATCGAACGTGAACCTGGCCCATGCTAGCGCACACGTACTTCGCATCACAGCGGCCCAATCATGGTTGCATGCGATCGTGGGCACGTCGTGGTTCAGCCACGACGTGCCCATCAACATCAAGATTCCCTGCCACTAAGGCAAAGAGCTTCCCAGCTCAGCTCCTCTACGTGGAATCTTGACTGTGGCTGGACTTTCCCCGCAGAGGAAGCCGGGCCGCAAAACTGAAGGGGTCTCAGGCGAGGGCTTCATACGGCCCTCATTCTCAGCTTTTGATTCAGTTTTCTTTGTTCGCTTGGCCTGCCGTGGCCATGGCGGACCTTCCAGGCACGCATTTCTTGTTCCGCCGCCGACCTGCTGCTAGAGAAAGTACCTGCAGAGACACCCGTGACTACTCTCAATGGCAGTCGCGCCCTGCGCCCGTCCCTCCATCACAACCAGTAGTGCCTCCCGTTCCTCCCACTCCTCCTACGCCTCCTACCCGTCCCGCTCCCCCGGCGCCTCCTATTCCTCCCGTTCCTCCGGCCCCTCCTGTCCCGCCTACTGTTTGTGTTCCGGGACAGGGGGTTCTGCAGCTTCTCCTCCCGCCTGGCTACTCGGCGTTCGACGCCTTCCTGTCCGAGCCTGAACGCAGCGGCGGCGAAGGATCTTCCTCCGCACCGGAGCAACGGTGGGGAGCGCCGGCTGCTTGCCCGTTGGACGAATCTGCAACCGGTGCAGACGACGACGTGGAGTTCTGGGCTGCTGACGGTCTCCCCGAGCACCTTCCAATTCCCTCCTTCCCCCCTCCGAATAAAAAAAGGCCCCACCCATCTCGCGATAATCGTGATGCCCGTCCTCCCTCCCCCAGGCACAAGCCAACAAAGCACAGGCGCAATTCCTACACCTCGCATGAGAAGCTGCAATGGATTCTGAAGCTCGAAAACGGAGAGATGAGTGTGCGGCGCATGTCTCGCGAATCCGGCATCTCCCGAAGGTGTCTCACGGAGTGGAAGAGCCGGAAGGCTGAGCTTGAGGGCGCGCACGGTGCACGCTGTCGCCTGCACGGCCGCGGAAGGAGCTCGTGGTATCGCGACATGGAAGCGGAGGTGTACCGGAGGTTTCTCGCCCACCGCAAGAAGTGCCTCGCCGTCTCGATCGCACGACTGCAGAAGTGGTCGCACGAGGTGATGAAAGAGTTACACCCAGGTGAAAAGTGGGCCGGCTCTCAGCGGTGGACTCAGCGCTTTCGCCGCCGCTGGAACCTGACGACCAGAGCGAAGACCCGGGTCGGCCAGAAGCTCTCGTCCAGTGAGTTGTTATTTGGTGGTATTGTTGTTTGTCTGTTCCCATCTATTCACGGCTCTCACTCTGTGTTTGTGCTTTCTGTTCCTCCCATCCCGTGTCCCAGACTGCAAGACTGATGTCAAGAACTTCTGGACGTATGTGCGTCACTCCCGCCGCCAGTACAAGATCGACCTGCCGTGGATCATAAACGCGGACGAGACGCCCCTCTGGCTTGAGATGCCATCCGAACGCACCGTTGAAGAGGTTGGCTCGCGCTCCGTGCCCGTCCGCAGCGGCGGCTACCAGAAAGAGCGGGTTACCGTGATGCTCGCCTGCACCGCCAGCGGGGAGAAGTTGAAGCCGTGGGTCTTCTTCAAAAGGAAGACCGTCCCCAAAGGAGATTTTCCTTCAGGTATGAAGCACACGTCGATTACGCGGTGGCATGTTCATGTCAGGTGTTAAACGTACGGTAACTAACATCGTGGTTTTTATGTTGTGCAGATATCCACGTGGGGGTCCATCCCAACGGTTGGATGGACGCGGACGGGGTCATCGAGTGGCTGGACGGGGCGGTGAAGCCGTACATCAACCCCAAGTTTGGAGTCCGTCCCCGCAAGGCTCTGCTCGTCCTCGATTCGTACCGCGGGCACCTGACCCCGGAGGTGAAGAAGAAGTTTGGCGAGCTCAACCTGGTCCCTGCGGTTATCCCTGCTGGCTGCACCTCGGAGATTCAACCCCTCGATGTCGCGGTTAACCGCTCCTTCAAGGCCGCCGTTCGCCAGCTCTACCAGGAGTGGTTTGAGCGTGAGGGGGTCGACACCTTGACGAAGAAAGGTAAGAGGTGCAGCACTGATAACGTTTTTATTTCTTTAACCCGTGCTGACCCGGTTTGTGGATTTGCGTGGCAGGCAACATCAAGAAGCCTCCTGTCGAGCTGACGCTCAAGTGGATCTCGACGGCCTGGAAGTCCGTGCCCAAGGAGCTCATTCAACGAGCGTTCCTCACCTGCGGCATCAGCAACGCCCTGGATGGGTCCCAGGACAAGCTCTGCCTGCAACACAGGCAAGACGAGCTCGAGGGCGAGGAGGTTGACATGGATGATGAAATTGCAGCTGACGGTTTCTTCTGCAACAACGTAGAGGAACCTGAGTCGGACTCTGAGGCCGACCCAGATGACCCCACTGTAGCTGATGATTAGAGTAGGGTAGAATTCTAGAAAATGGTGAAGCCTGTGTGAAGCTCGTAGGTAGAATTAGATTAACTAGAAGTAGATAAACATTGTAGATTAACTAACATGATATGCTAGTGGATAAAATGTATAAAATGTCTTCAAATTAAAAAAACAACAAAAAACCAGGGTGGCGGTTATAATGTGGTCGGTATAGGTATGCGGTTATAATCTGTAAGCCTTTAAGGTATGCGCTTATAATCGAGCACCGGATATAAGCGCCACACGCCAATTAAAAGCGCCAGGCGCTTATCCGCGGGTGGCGCTTATATCCGGGGTATGACGGTATCTCCTGGAAGTCGAGTAAGCAGGAGTTAATCGCACTGTCTTCAGCTGAAGCAGAATATATTGCACTCTGCTCAGCCACCAAGGAGGGACTTTACCTTCGCGAACTGCTGGAAGAAGCGAAGTTAGCCGAGTTACCCAGCTTCACCGTGTTCTGCGACAACCAGTCAGCAATTCGCATCGCCAACAAGAACGGCTTCGCAAACAGGACGAAACACATCGCCCTGCGCTATTTCTTCGTGAAGGACGAGATCGAAAAGGGGAAACTCGATCTGTCATACTGTCCCACGTCTGAGATGGCAGCCGATTACTTGACCAAGAAGCTCGGAAAGCAGAAGTTCGAATACAATCTCAGAAGACGCCTTCGTGACAGTCATCATCGGTGGCCTCGGTCCTCAGTGGCGCGCCACCAAAGCAATTCTTCGAGCCCACGGAAGAATCTCTGAAGCAGCACTTTGCGCCGAAATCCACGCCGAGCAGGAGGACATGGACCTGCAAGAAGAAAGGCACAAGAAAAAGGCATTAGCACCGGAGTTCGCTTTCCATACTCAGCGACGACACAACTACTACTACAACAACCGACATCAGCAGCCGAAGCCAGTACCTCCGTTTTGTCACATCTGCAAAACATCAGGACATCCACGCACGCATTGCCCGTCCCGTCAGATAACACCACAGCGACAACTGCGGCCTTCAAGCTCCCAAGTTGCTTCGACACAAGCAA